CAACGGGGTTTGGGCGACGTACATCTCACATGCGTGAAGGTGCCGTAGGTCACGTAAAGAAGGGGCCTTTTAAACCTGGCTCTCAGCCCACCAGTCCGCCACTCCAAACACACACGACAGTTCGACCATCGATTTCGATGATGTCCACCGTATGCCCCACAGCCGCAGCAGCGGTGGGAGCAGGGACGGTGACTTACGCAGGGGTTTATAGTGCCAGTAGACTTGCGTAGCAACTACCTACACTCTCTCCTCCTCCCCCGCCTGAGCCTGGTGTCAAGACCAAGTCAAGAAGACCGGAGACGAGGGAGGCCGCAGGTGGATGGCTCGGACGGATCCTCGCCTTGGCGCTCCACTCCGTACCCCCTGGTCCACACACAAATGACCAGGATTTTGACCACAAAACAATGGGGTGATGGCAGTAGTCCAGTTGTGCGGCGATTGCCGACAATGGGGTCTGCCAGCGCACCCCGCAAATGTTGGCATTTGTTATTGCGCACAGATAACGCCTGTCAGAGTCCGATGTGACCCCCGTGTTGGTCCAGCGCATCTAACACGTGGCCCGTTTTGAGGGCACCCAAACACACACACACACACACACACACACACATACACACGACCGGACAGACTGCTTGGGCTGAGTTGGGGCGTCAGTCAGCAGCCTTCCAAGTCACGGCGCTCGACGCACCGTGACAGGCTCAGACTCGCATCACACATGCGGCAGAGGAGCCGCCTGGAGTCGGAGCCGTGGGAAGTGGCAGTCAGTTGCTTGTGGTGGGTGATGATGTTGCGTAATGCGGGTGGGGGAAGATGTGATGATGTGATGCAGCCGGCGGTTTTCTACCGCGGGCTTTCGTGAATGCGCAGGAGAACTAATAGACCAATGTGGTGAGTGAATGTGCGGGGGAAGTGAGGGCAGTCGGGGCGAATGCGCTGGTGTATGTTGGTGTTGCATGCACTGACTCGCCAGACTCTGTGCGATGGATTCGCAAGTGACCGACCAGGCCGATGCTTGATGTGAATGTACGGGGACATTGTGGGCAGGAAAATTTCCCGCTGTCAATGTCGGTTTCAGTGAGGATAGGGAACGGGGAGTGGGTTAGACTAGGCATAGTGAGCTTGTAGTATGCGCTAGGTGTTTCAAGGCTGCGATGATTTCCGCACTCGTAGACACGCATGTGACCTAGAAGGCCCGTGTGGTGAGTGGTTGTGCTGGGACAGTGTGGACGATGGAGGCGGATGCAGCGAGTATATGTGGGTGCTCCAGGAACCGGTTCGCCAGTCCCTGTGCGATGGGTTCGCAAGTGACAGACCAGGCCGATATGGGAAATGAAGGTGCAATCGCAATGAGGACAGGTATTGACTGAGTCCACATCACTGGTGTCGGCAGGAGAGAGTTTGGCGTTTGTCGGTGTATTAGGATTGAGCGCAGTTGCGGCGGTTGCAGGAACTTTCGCAGCGGGTGTTGAGGAGATGAAGGAGGACGGCAGTGGGGGATTCAGGACCGGGATTAGTGTTGATTGTCGCCGTGAGGTGCGGGTCGAAGTGGACGGGGGTCACCAACTGATGCTGCAGTTGGTACGAAGGTGTCCAATGGGACCATTTGGTGCCCGGAACGTCCGCTGGCCTCGTGGGCAGGTCGGGGGAGACTGACTATTGGAGTTGCGAGGCGGAGGCAGTTGGGATTTTTGAGCTTCGAGATTGGCTTTGGTGACGATGATGAGGTTGGCCTCGAAGACTGCTGCGCCGGCCTTCACTCCGGGTCAGTCGGTCTCGGGTGAGGCCTTCCCAGTTGACCAGATCAGTTGACAGGAGCCTCAGGGAAGTCTTCAGGGTATCCATGTAATGCCAGACTTGACTTCCTTGTCGGCAAGAACTTGTCGCGACATCTCCTTAGAAAGTTCTTTCGAGAAACCGCTCGTCGTCTATGCGCACCAGAAGGCAGCTTCAGCGCATTTGCTGTTGTCTTAGCATGGCGTAAATGCTGAGGATTCCCGTCCGCTCCAGTTCATCCGTATCGGGAATCCGGTCCTGCCATCTCAGCTGTAGTATCCGTCGAAGACAGCTGAGGTGGAAGTGGTTGAGCCTCCGCGCGTGCTCCTCGTAGACCACATGGGTCTCCGTTCCGTACAGCATCGTCGGCAAGATGACTGCCTTGTTCATCTTGCTGAGATGGAGACCGTGGCGATTGCAGACTGTATTTTGCAGGAGATCGAGGGCTTGGCTGGCCCTGGAAATGCTGCGGGCCACTTTATTGTCGATTTTGGTACTGCTAGATAGGGTGTTGCCCAGGTAGGTGAAATTGTCCACGGTTTGAATTTGGGCGCCGTTCAGGTTAATTTGGAATGTGACTTAGGCAGCGTCGGGTGACAGTTGATGCATTATTACCATCTTCTCCGTGCTGATGACCAGGCCGAAGTTGTCACGAGCGGCGGTGATGAGGTCCATGCTCCTTTGCATGTCCAATCCTAGGTGGCGTTGAGGGCGTAGTCGTCGGCGAAGACAAGTTCATGGACGATAATTGTGAATACACGCGACTGGAAGTACATTCACCGTTGATTGAAGAGCTGGCCGTCCGTCCTGTTGAAGATGCGGATCCGGGACGTTCGTCACGGTCGGCGTCCATCGGTAGGCGCAAAGACGCAGATCTACCTCACTCCGTTGGTCGCTGCGAATGCCTCAGAGTCAGCCCTATCGTCCGTGACTCGCGCTATCATGCTATCGTGGAGCTGACGCACCATCTGAGTGAATCGTTCGGAATAGCCGAATTTCTGCATGATTTTCCACAGTCCTTCACTATTCACCGTGTCGAAGGCTTTCGTCAGATCCACGAAGGTAGAGTAGAGGTGGGTTCGCATCTCCTGACGCATATTCTGCAGTTGGCGGGCGACGAAGATCATGTCAGTGGTTACACAATGTCGTTGGAATCCGCACTGACTTTCCGGCAGAAGATCCTGTCCCAGACGGTTGCTCAGACACTTGGGAGGGATGCGGGCGAAGATCTTCCCAACCATCTTCAGCGGGGAAATGCCTCGGTGGCTGTTGCAGAATTGGCGATTACCTTTGTGCTTGTAGAGATGGACGATTGTGGCGTCCTTGAAATCCTACGGAACTAGTACTTGACACCACCTCTCCTGGAAGGGCGTCATCAGATGATCCATAAGTTGGGGGTCACCCTGCCTGTGGATCTCCGCAGGGATCGCGTCCGATCCGGGCGCTTTCCCGCTGAAGCGGTTTTGCATGACCCTGATGGTTTCGTGGAGGGAGGGTTAGAGGTCGAGGACAGCGTTGGTTTCCGCTCGAGACAGATGGACAATGGCAGCGTCGGAGATGGTGGAGAGGCGCTTGAGGACGCCTCGGAAGTGCTCGGCCTATTGCTGTGTAATTTGTGTCTTCTCAGTGAGAAGGGTACTGTCGTTGGAACGGCTTCTTTGTCTATGGTGCCGTAGACATCCTTGCTCGCAGAAGAAATTTCTTCCATTCCTTGCGGTTCGCGTACCATTAGATCCCCTCGGCATTGCAAGCCGTCTCGAGGTCCTGTATCTCCCACAGTTGCCCTTGCACAAGACAGGGACTTCGATAGGAAGCTGCTTTGGTTGCTTTGGTAAGGCGGTTTATATAAGCTCTGAGAGACCGGTTATTCTTAAAGAGCAGCTCCTTAATGGCGACATCACTGCCCTCGAACCAGGGCATATGTTGACGGGGTGCGCTACTGAGAACAACCAGGACGATTGATTAGACCATTTCATTTGGTTGACACCATCGGTTCTTCACGGCGGCGGCGACTATAAGACTGGCTGGTAACTGAGCAAGCTCTTTGCTTGAGTGGAGATGTTGAGCAGACACATTAAACAGAACAGTATTCAACTTACCTGGTGGTCGCTTACCTTGAGGTCCCCTGTGCGGCTCTAGGCACAGCCTCATATTAGAGATGACAAGGCGATGGCTTGTACAACCATCGTCACCCAGGGGCGCCTTTGTCACCAGCACTCCCCGTTGGTCTCGTCTCCGGACGAGGAGATAGTCCAGTAGGTGCCTGTGCTGAAGCCGACGGCGAACCCAGATCGCCCTCTCCAGCATTATTAGGCGAATGAAGGTGTTAGTCAGGATGAGACTGTGTTCTGTACAAGTCCACAGGAGGAACATGCCATTCTCATTGGGGCTGTCGAAACTATGGGGACCTAGCGCCCCTCTCCAGGCAGCAGGATTTGTGCCGACACCAGCGTTGAAGTCACCGAGGACAGCCAACTTATCTACCTTCGTCACAGTCGTCAGGAGGGCGTGCAGGTCCTCTTGGAATTTGTCCATCGCCAAGTAAGGTCCGATCATCGAGGGAGGGGCGTAGACACTGACAGTGGTGGCGAATTTGCCTCCCCAGATAGGCAGGCGGAGGCTCTTCGGCGATCGTTAACGTCCTACGACAGAGAGGGCAGCGGTCCTACGATGCCGTCCCGGATGGCATAGGTGACGTCCTCGTGCCGTCGCTCCAGAAGAAGTTGTAGCCGGCACCCACATCCTCCAGTTGGCCTTCTTCGGAAAAAAACAGGTCTCGCTGAGTGCGCCGATGTCCACCTGATATCACCCCAGTTCCAGAACGACTAGCGTCGTCCACCGCTCCGGTCGGTTGCTCCTGAGATCATCTAAAAGGTAACGAATATTCCAGGCGGCCAGAGATAGCGGACTCAGTCCAACCGGTGAGGTAGGGCGGTGGGGAGCAGGAGGGAGAAGAGAGAGTATGGTCTCTTGTTTGGTTGTTTCGACTGTGTGTTTTGCATCTGCTAGCCACGATCTGCGCGCAAAGGGCGGGACGTCCTTTCTGGCCTCTTTTCCCTCGCAGGGGTAAACAGTGTTGTCCCTTAACGGGGCTGCTTAGTCTTCCTATACGACTGCCGCTCTTTTCTATGGGCAACGACTTTGTTTATTGGGGGGACGATCCGGGTTTGCCTCGGCCGTCTATGGAATTGCAGTCACGCTCTCCGTATGGGTTTTTGAAGTGGATGATGACTTTTTCTCTGACGATGGATTCGAGTGAGCATCCGAAACGTCAGGCTAATAAGGCTCTTGTTCCAGCAGTCGTGTCGCCCTCCTCGCGACATCGAAATTTGTTTACGGCACAGATCGGGAGATTCAGTGAAGCTGTCGATTCGGAGTGGTCTCTGAGTGCTAAACCGTCACTGCCAATGGATTTAATGTGTCAAAGAAAAAGAGGCGAACGCTGCCATGCCCGACTGAACGAAATTACGCTGTCTTGAACTTGATGTTCTTGAATTTTTCCATACACATTTCAACCATCTCAATTAGAAACATCTATGATGACCATTTTACACAACAGCCTATGGATGCTATGAAAACAAACATATTGTGCGGACTAAGAAGGCGAAAAACAATAAGATCTGGTATAAGAGTGCAGGCTGAACGGTAAAAACACAGGCACTGGGGAGGTTCGAAAGCAAAAATGATGCGCAAAGGGCTGCCGCGACCTACAGAAGATAGCGTTGACCTCGAGGGCAAAGGTATTTT